AAATCAGGAGGAGTTCATTTAGAGATATCAAAATCAAAAAAGGAAGATAAGGAAAGAAAGCTAAAAGCAGCAAAAGATGAGACATATCACATTCGAGAGAGTATCAACAACGCAGCTATCAGAAGAATTATCTGCAGCAACCCTGCAGGTCAGGAAACAGTGAGATAAGATATTTAAAGTGCAATAAAACAAAAACACAACTCAAAACGAAACCTGCCAGCCAAGAATATGTTGCCTAGAAAAGCCATCTTTCAGAAATGAAAGAGAAATAAAAACTTTTCCAGTCAAAGAAAACCTAAGGGAGTTCATTGCCAACTGCTACAGGGAGTCAGTCCTGTAAGCTGAAATGAAAGGCTGCTGGTTAATGAAAAAAATATGAAAGTGAAAAACCTCAATGGCATGAAATACATGGTCATCTTCAGAATACCCTAATACTGTAAGGGTGGTACATAAAGCAATTTTATTTCTACTGTTAAGGTTAAAAGACAAAACTGCTAAAACAACTTTAGCTGCAATGATTCATTAAGGGATACAAATTCAAAAGAATATATAAATTTTGATATCAAAATCAGGACAGGAAGATGTTAAGGAGCAAAACTATAGCTTTTGTATGCGATTAAGGTAGTTATTAGCTTCAAATAATTTGTTAAAAAGTTAAAATTTTTAGGGTGAGCTTTGTGATATCCATAAAAACTGTAAAAAATAAGGATTCTCAGCACAACACCACAGGAAACAGACAAAACATAAATAAGGAAGAGAGAAACAATAGGCCCACAAAACCTGAAAAATGAATTACAAAATGGCAGTAGTATGTCCTTACCTATCAATGATTACCTTAAATGTAAATGGACTAAATTCTCCAAAAAAAAAAACCCAGAGAATATTAATGAATGAGGAAAAATATGATCCAATAAATTTAAAGCCTGCTTTGTCTGATATCAGCATAGCAACCCCTGCTTTCTTTCTTTGGGTTTCTATTTGGATGGAATTTATTTTTCCATTCCTTCACTTTTGGTCTATGGTTCTCCCTCCTAAAAGTTAAGTCTCCTATAGGCAACATGGGCAGATTTCTAAATGCACGTGCATCAAAATCCAAATGCCACTTTTCCATAAACATAGAAGACCGACCCTTAAACTCATATAGAATCACCATAGACCCCAAATGGCCAAAACAATCTTGACCAAAAAGAACACGTAAAAGAATAAAATGGGATCTTTATCTCACATCATAAATAAAAATAAGCTCAAAATGGATATAAGACCTGTTGTTATGGAACTTCTAAAAAAAAAAAAAAACAGAGAAAGCTCCAGGACATTTGCTGAGTAACAGTGTTTTAGGAGATGACCCTGAAAATACAGGCAAGAAAAACAAAACTGGACTATGGGATTGTATCCAGCTAAAAAGCTTCAGCACAGCCAAGAAAACAGGAAACAACTCATAGAATGGGAGAAAATGTTTGCAATGGGCAAAGGACCTGAACAGACATGTAGTAGTAGTAGTAGTAGTACCAGGAATTGAACCCAGGGGCACTTAACCACTGAGCAACATCCCCAACCTTTTTTTCTATTTTACTTATAGACAGGGTCTCACTGAGTTGCTTAGCGCCTTGCTTTTGCTGAGGCTGGGTTTGAACTCATGGTCCTCCTGCTTCAGCCTCCAGAGTCACTAGGATTACAGGCATGTGCCAAGGTGCCCAGCTCCTGAACATACATTTCTGTTAAGAAAACACATGTGGGGCTTGGGTGGTGGCTCATTAGTAGAGTGCTCGCCTAGCATGCATGAGGCACTGGGTTCAATCCTCGGCACCATATAAAAACAAACTAATGTGTCCACCTAAAACTAAAGATACATAGATAAATAAATTTTTTTTAAAAAAAGAAGACATATGAATAACCAAAAATGTGTTAAAAATGCTCAGCCTCACTAGTCATCAAACAAATGAAAATTAAAACCACCTTGGGGGCTGGGGATATAGCTCAGTTAGTAGAGTGCTTGCCTCACATGAACAGAGCCATGGGTACAATCCCCAACTTCGCCAAAACAAAATAAAACAAAAACCACCTTGAAATATTACCTCACACCTATTAGGATGATTTTTATAAAACACACCGAAATGACAAGTTTGGTCAAGAATGCAGAGAAAAGAACCACTTTAGCATGGTTGGTGGGAATGTAAATCAATACAACTATTATGGAAAATGCTATAGAGATTCCTTAAAAAAAAATAACAATGGAACCACCCTCTGATGCAGCAATCTTACTCCTGTATGTGCATCCAAAGGAATCGAAATCAGTTTGTGGAAGGGACATCGTGCTTCCATGCTAATTGAAGCTCTATCCACAATCGCCAAGATGTGGAATCAACCCAGTTACAGACAAAGGCATGAAGAAATGTGGTAGACAAACACCAAGAAATAGTGTCCAGCCTTCTCAAGAAGAAACCCTGTAATTTGTGACACGGATGAACCAGAAGACACCATGCTCAGTGACATAAGCCAAGCACAGAAAGACAAATAGTGCATGATCTCATGTATATGTGGAGTCTAAAAAAAAAATGCTGAAATTATGGAAGTAGAGAGTTGAGTGGTTTTACAAGAAGCCTGTGGTGGGGAGGGAGTGGGGAAATGTTGGTCAAGATGGACAGGAGGAATACGTTTTGAGATCTCTTGCACAGCGGGGTGACTGTATTGTGTATTTCCAAATAACTAAGAGCCAAATTTCAAATGTTTTACCATGAAAAGTGGTAAGTAAGCAAGGGCGTGGATATACCCATCAGCTTCATTTAATAATTCTGCATAGTATACATATATCAAAACATCCCCTTCTGCCCCAGAAATATAGGAATTATGATTTATTAATTAAAATGATAAAATGGTTGAAAATGATTATTTGAAAAACACACGCTAGCCTGAATTTTTGTTTATGAAGGTGTTCTAGAGCCCTCCAGAGAGACGTCCCCAAATCCACAGAGTTGTTTCTGTGGTATACTCAGCACATCTGCTGGGCACCCCAGTACAATTTCAGGGATTTCCACAATGTCATCTTTTTATCCACTCAGCCAGCGTCTGCTTCATTTGTTCAGAGAAAGGGTTCTGAGGTGTGACCTGTGGCATCTGAGACTTGGGGTTCAGCATGAAGGTAAGGGCCACCAGGTGCTATTGATGCTCAATGTCCTCACTCCTCCTGGTGTGCCACAACCTCAAAGTCCATGACTTCCAGACCACCATAGGCGTGTGCGTGTGTTTGAGCTTACACACCCATGTGCAACTCATGAAACATAAACCGAACCAAGACCTGTCCAAATCTGTCACAATTCTAACAACGGTCATCATTTGCCTTTCACCATGAAATACATGGTGAAAATTGCTGTCAAAACCCCAGAGAGCCGGGCTTGGTGGTGGTGCATGCCTGTAATCCCAATAGCTCAGGAGGCTGAGGTAGGAGGATCACCAATTCAAAGCCAGCCTCAGCAACTCATCGAGGTCCTAAGCAACTCAGCAAGACTCTGTTCTCAAAATAAAAAATAAAAGAGCTGGGGATGTGGCTCCGTGGTTCAGCACCCGGGTCCGATTCCCAGTATCATCCCCTGCTAAAAAAAAAAAAAAAAAAAAAAGTGCCAGAGAAGTGAAACAAAGCTTCCTTTTGCAAATGTCATCTGGCTTTAGGGTCTAGCTTATACAGCAGCATGTGCAGAGAACTAGAAACTACAGCGTGGCTTGTGCTCAACTGAAAGAGCAAAGGGTGTTCAGTTCAGGTGTATGATTGTGGACATGCAAACACGTTTCCATCTGACTATGGCATCACGACTATTTCACTGGCTTGAGCCCAACCCACCTTGTCAGCCAGTCATCCATCAAGGCAGCTTATAAATATTTGGAGCCCAGGGGAGTTTTGTTCTTGAGAGAGAAATGAAAATAATGAAGAGAACCACCAGCTCTTCTTACCAACCTCATGTTTGAAGTTATCATGTTCTTTAAATTAAAATTTTTCTTGGTATCATTGTAAAATACCACAAGCCACATCATTTGCCTTATTTCTGTAATGAATTTAGTGACACCTGTCCTCACGTCATCACAGAGTCCCAAGAACCAAGTGAGGGAAGGTCTTCTTTCACCATTGTAGCTGCACCCCCAGGAGTCTCTCATGAGTTTTATGGTGGCTAAAATCACCAGGTAGATAGATTACAGAAGGTAGCTAACTTACCTTCTTTGACTTCACTCAGAAAACATATTTAAAAACATACTTTATGTTACAAACATACATTGTAAAGCCAAATTAACGTTTTTGTGTGATTTCTAAAGTCTTGTTCTTGCAGGAGTCAACTGGGATCTATTCCCAGATCCCACCCCCCAGGGGTGAAGTGTGATTGGATTCTGTTGCCTGAGATGCCTAAGCAGCATTTACCTATCTGTTAGCACTTGGAGAAACTATAAACCATAAAGTAAATGTAAAGTGTTCTGGTGATGGAAGTTTACTCACATAATTCATAACTCAATATTATCATGAAACTTGACCTTGATCCTTTTCTCTTAGCCCTCCCAGCCAGCTATCATGGATTTGTCCAAACTGTCCTCCTTGAGGCAACCTCTTAGGAAAAGTATTCAATTTTCTTGTTTCTTTTGTAAACCTTCAAGCCCTTGAAGGGTGCCCCTACCATTGGCAATATCCGTTGCTTTCCAAAAAAAGCAGAATGAACTCACCTGTCTTCTACTTAGACACCCTTAGGTTTATGTCTTACCCAAATGTGTGAAATACTTGCATGTTAGAAATTTTTCTGGTGTTGATCAAAAGGATGAGTCTGAGAATCCCAATGTTGTGCTCTCTTCTACATAGGACCAAGACCATTTTAGAATTGTCAGGTCTCTTGCTCAGGTACAGGGACAGCATTTGGGTCATTCTAAACCTCAGGTTCTCAAACCCACATTTCTATAAAGTACTTAAAGAGTTGTTACCAGAAAAAACAATGCTCTTACATCAGTTTCACGGAATTCATTCTCACCTGGTACCAAGTCACCTCTGGACTCTGTTTTTCATTTTGGCAGCTGAGACTGGGACAATAAATGGAGTCCATCCTACCAAGAAGTAGGTATTGCTTATGTGGCTTAGGGTTCTCACAGGATGAATTTGCCTGGGGCTTAATTTCCAAGACTGTCTTGACACAACATGCCACATCCTGGGGTCTCCTAGGAGATTAACAAGGTCCTGTGAACATAGATATTTTATTTAGGTAGTAAGGCTTTGATGATACTTGCAGATAGGAAAGCATCCGGGACATACCTAATCCTGGGTCCACAAATATATGAACCAGAATCATTCATCTCTGGGATCAAAAAGCGAAGCATAGTCTTGTCCTGAATGATATGCGGATATTGGTTAGTAATTTCCTCCAGTGGGTCTCCATTCTGAGGTTGTAGGTACCAGAGGACATCAGATGGGTCTTTACTACCACTGCAGGGAAAGTATTCAGGGTCTCTTGTTGGTGAGGGTTCACTTGTCGGGTAGAAGTGGGATTTCTGCAGTTCTGGTAAATCACAAAATAAGACAAATTCCTCTTCACTCTCTGTGGAATATGTCCAAAGGAGTCTTTTGGTGGAACAATCTGACAATCACAATAAACAAAGCAACTCAGAAACACATTAGAAGATAGAAAGCTAAATTACATTTAAAAAAAAAAAAAAACCTGAAGTAACCAAAGAGTACATCCCTCTGGGTATCTATCTTCTTCACTGTGCCCATTTTGTAGGAAAAAAAAAAAAAGATGTTCATGTTCTAATTCCCTTCCATTGGGCTTCAGTGTCGCCAGTAGAACTCTGACATCCTGTGAATGACAGCTGGGCCATCAATCATTCCTTTCAGCTACTCCCACCCAACACCCAGCTATGGTAACTGGGCTCCCCATGGGCGCTTGGAGTCCACTGAAAGCTGTTCACCCTAATAACTCTCCCACTGCCGTTTGAAGAGTAGGAAGGAAACGCTGTGAGTGAATATATCACACTGCTGATATCATCTGTCAACTTCAGGCTTTGACCACAAGGCTCAGTGTTAGCATGAAAAGTGAAAACCCCTACCTGAAATATTAAATTCTGCGATCCTCTCTCCTGTGACAAGCCAAAGAAATGTCCAAGCCCAATAGAGCATGACTCTCCTGTGCTCCCGTCATCACATCAGGAGACCCACCCCGTTGGCAGTAAAGAGGACGTGGAGGGGCTCGTTTCCGAGTATCCTCTTCATTTCTGAAATGGGAAATGGAGAAATCGGAACCAGTGACCAAAATGCAAGTCACACAGGAAGCTTTGAAGGGCAGGTCCCACCCAATGAGCCTCCGCATACCCAGGGTTGTGTGGGCACTTTTAGTGGTGAGAAGCAGCCTCTTCGTATGTATCTAGAGGAGGAGGAAAGGGCACCAGTTACCCCCCGGACCTGCCCACCATATAGTAGGTTTTTCTAATGCTATTTTCCCCACGTGGAATTTTTTCTTTCTTTTTTTTTCTTTCTTTTAATGTTCTCATCTAGTGTGCACATTTCCATGAATCATTTGGAAAAAGTTAAGTTCATATTTTTTCCAGAAAAGATTGCCCACATTATATGAAAATGGCTGATTCTTCCAAGTTAATGAAGCTAGAGATACGGCTTCTAAGTATAAAATCCAAAAAAAAAAAAAAAATACTAGTTTCCAATAACTGTCATAGAAAAAGGAAAAGGGAAATTGTCATTGGTCATAGCATCAACCTGGTCTTCTTGGATGTAAAGGTGAGAAGTTCTTCCCAAGAGAGACTCAGAGCTGGGAGCTACCATGCTGTGTCTGTCCCCTGTGCTGATAGAGTAGCCAGGGGAACTTTCAAACACCTTATAAGTGATGAGGAATAAGGATATGGAATAGGTAATGTTTGGTTATTTATTTTGTTTTGAACAGAAAATAAAAGTGTTGGTTATAGAACAGTCTGTCTATGTCTTCTAGAGCTCTGAATGTTGACCATTAACATAAAAATAGCCTGTGTCTTGTCTCTGGGATTATGGGAATAAGATGAGTTTCCCAAAATTTTGGCTAAAAATCCCCCCCTAAAACACTCCTGTAGTGTCTCAGCCTCTTTAAGGGAGGTGAGAGCCAGGGATAAATGGTATAGTCGCTGTCTTCAAGGGTCCATCACAGTGTGGAGGACAGAGTAAAAGAAACAATTATTCTGATGCTTGTTAAAATGGTGACGACTTTATTCAAGACTATTGCAATAGGGGAGAGAGATCAAGGCCCACTCCCAGTGCAAGGATAAGTGGGGAGTTATAGCCAAGGAGGAGGGTGCAGGTCAGTGGGTGGGAAGTTATCAAGAGAAATGGAAAGAACAGGGATCCCTACTAAACCCATATAACAGGATGTTGCTCAAGGCAGGTCAAAGATATCCAGGGTGGAGATGAGGAACTTAATCAAATATCAAGGTTAATTCTCTCACACAGGTGCATAGGTTGGGGGGATTACATAGCGGTGTACTTTGTTCAGACTGGCTGATCAGGCCAAAGACAGGACAGGTGCAGAGGTGGAGGCTTGGAGAAGAGAGCTCAGAAGATCCTGACCAAAGTTTGGTCAAGGAGAGAGTCTCTGTTTACACAGACACCCAAATCAACAATTTTAACAACATGCAATAAAGAAATAAAGTCCATTGCTAAAACGGAAAGAGAGGGAGAAAGAGAAAGAAGAAGAAGAGAGTAGAGAGAGGAAAAGAAAGAGAAGAAAAGGTCCATCAAATATCCTTATGGTCACTCTAAAAGTTCCTTTTAAAAATTTTTCTCCCCAGCAGATGACATAATCAAAATCAATCATCAATCAATCAATCAATCTGAGGGAGAGGGAAGGCCGCGGGGATCGGTAGCCCTGGCAGAGAGGCAGATTGAGCTCCTTGAGGAATACCAGCCATTAAGAGCAGGCTGGGGCGAATGGAAAGGAAAACTGACAAACCCCAAAGAAGAAAATCAGAAGATGGAAAACACCTGACAGTGAGACAGACAAAAGGAGGAGCGACTAGAAGTGAGTGTCAGAAACTGCAGAGTCAGGGATGAGAAGGACTGAGCAGGGGCCTCGGGTTGGGGCCAGAAGTATTGGACATTTATATCTGGCTGATGACCTGGCTTTGTACCAAGAGCGAGGGTGTGACCCAGAGGGATGATTGTTAGTCATGGGGACTAGGTCCACTCTGGTCTTTATCCTCACTTGTGACTACTGGTGGCTTTTCCTATCAGAACTGCAATCCATAAATTAGGCAGGATGAGACACCACCTTGGAAGATGGAGTGACCTCCCTTGCCCTCCTTTCCTTTGCCCACCAAGCCTCAGGAAGAATGATCTTCTCCACCTCAGTCACCAGATGCACGTTCCTGAAGAGCAAGACTGAGCTTCTCATTTCATGATAAAAACCCTCACTGGCCCCCACTGCCCATGAGGTTGAGAAGTGATTCCATGCACCACCCACATTCCCAGTAGGCTACGTCTCTCACATGCCCTCGTTCTGATATTTTCCTCAAAGACACCTTCCCTGACCACATGGATGAAGAAACTCCCACTCCATCCCTTCTTTGCCATGACCCAGCACACAACCATCTCTCTGATTATTCTTTTACATTACTTTTTTCTTCGATGCATTCTTGTCTAAAAATACTCATTCTTAAAAGCTGTGTGACAACAGGAACCGAGTACCTCTTTCCCTGTGGGTCTTGCACTCCCTGTCCAGGCACAGTGCTGTGCAAATAAGAGGAGCTCAGGCACCGTTTGTTCAGAATTCATTACACTGCCTCCTAATTGTGGTTCCCCTCGCCTTGTCTTCCCACTAGACTGGGAACTCTTTAAGAGCAAGGGTACTGTTTTATAAATCACATCCATGCTTACTGCAAAGTAGAAGCCAATTCCATTGAACAAACAAATGAAAAATGCTCCAGGAGGAGTCAAAACAGACGCATATCAATCTATTATGACAACTCACTCTCTATATGAGCATAAGTCACTTAGACTTTCTGGATTTTCATTTTTTTTATCTGCAAAATAAATCATTTGCACTGTATGAGTAGTTCCTCAACCTTAGAGCTAGCTAGAGAATTATGATTTCTGGGAGTTAACTGATAAATCTTTTTTTTTTTTCTTAATTTCTCTGACATGTGAAACATGGGATTAAATGATTGCTAAAATCATCTCTACCATTCTGCAATTCCATGTCTCAATGTCCAAGGCTGCAGCAAACCAATGGCCTGAACATCCAGCCCTTGGGAATTTCCATCCTCCTCGAGATGACAGACACTCCCTACATGATGCATGCACCTGCTGGCCTCCAATCTCGGGTTCCCTGGGTCAGTTCCAGGGTGCAGCTTTGCCTCTGGGACTGTGTTTCTCAAATTATTTTTATTGGAAGAACAACCTGGAAAACTTGTTACAAATGCGTCTTCATGGGCTCCCCCAAGGGCTAATTAAATTAGATTCTCAGGGAGAACAATGGATCTACTTTATAAACAAGTGTCTAGACTCTTGACCCACAAGTCATCTTTGGGAAACCCCTAGGAACAAGAACAGAGCCTTAGGAGATGGGCCAGCCCCTGAATCATAGTAATTGTTGCCATTTCTGGTGGTCACAGCACAGCACAGCACAGCACAGCACAGCACAAAACAGGTCCATTCTGAAAATTCTATTTAAATGGAATAACAAACTGAATGATGTGTTTTTCAATGTCTACTCTTTCATAAGACCATCTAATGTCGAAGTGCTGTCATGCATTTCTAGCATCATCAAAATATTTCTGGGAATCAGAGTATCATGCAAGCAATGGGTATTCCATTTGTTAAGAATTGGACAACTTAAACCAAGCAAGGCTGCACGTTCTGTTGATGGGAATAAAATGACAAAGTGACACTGATCATATTGTTCGTTTGCACTCTGGTCACCTGGGGGAAGATGGGTAGTGACTTTCTCATTTTACCAATGGACCACCTAGGTTTGCATTGCTAGGAGTAGTGGTCTCCATTACTAATGATACTCACATACCTGGTAAGTGTTAGAAGAGGGATTCAGATCCAGATGCAGAGGGTCTTGGAGCTCCTGATTTTGTCACCATCACATGCTGTTCCTCACAAATGGAGATGAGAACCAAAAGAATGACTTTGGAAATCTGCAGGCTGTCTCTCCAGAGCGTTTTCCAGATGTGTTTTCAGAGTCCAGTTTCTTTTCGGGGAGAATGAAGCCTTCCCCTTCAGACAATCAGGGGTACCTTTTCAGTGATTTGGGGGGAGAAATAATGAACTAAAACTTTCATTTACCAAAGGTCTGACAGCAGGAGAGAAAGAAGCTGGAGAAGGCAAGTCTGCAGCCCAGAAGAGAAGTCTCATCCTTAGGGGCGAGCTCACGCAGAGACAGAGATACATGGGGAAAGAGTAAGTACTTAATTCAACTGATACTATTATGATTCTCTCATGGTCCATGGTAGCTTTATAGCCCATTGTCACTGGATAATAGGTAGAGAAATGTGTAGCATCTGCTCAGAAATGCTAGGGTCAAATCAAGAGGACCATTTGAATTTGGCAAATATCTTGAATCCCTCCACTTTCAGCCCTTCCCATAAAAAGCTTGAAGCACTGTGGAAAAGTTTTGTTTATGACCACCAGCTGTTTCGTGTAAAGTCAAGTCCCCATACAGGTGGAGTTACAGATGTTGCTGAGATAGCACATTCCATCATTTTTGAGTATTTCATACAAAAACAATTGTGTCAGCAGTTCATTTGGACAATTATTTAAGCTCTTTTCTCAACTTATATGTTTGTATTAGGAAATCTAGTGAGAAAATGTACTATTATCTTACCTTTATTTCCTCTTCTTAAGACATGAAAAAAAGAGGAAGGAAACTTCAAGTCCTTATATCATTGACTGCTGGCTTTTATGTCTGAAGAAAAACATGTGGAAGGTATCCATTTTCAAAAAGTTCTGCCGTACTTCTTCCTAGCCAGAGAGATACCTGGAGAAGACAAGAGAGCAGTCTAACTCATGCAGTTTGGGAAATAATGAGTTATACATGGAGAAAAAAAGTAAGCTTTCAGTATTGTGGAAACAACCTTTAGCATTATGAATTGTGTAGTCATACAGGAAAAAAAATCAAATTAACTACCTCTGTCAGTAGAAGGAAAAGTCCTGAAGATGAAACATCAAAAACTCCTCTCAGGCCAGCCTCCTTGATAAGAAAAGGTTTGTGGTTGGTTTAGTTGAAAGAGTGAGTAAGCTTGCTTCCTTTACAAGAATTTCCTGTACAGAATACTAGCACCCAACTCAATTTCTCAACTGTGAAGCTTTCTATTTTTTTTTCTTTCTTGTAAAGCTAGTCCTTAACTATATAACCTTTAAGATCAAAGGTAGAGCTGTGTGCGGTGGTGCACGCCTGTAATCCCAGTGGCTCTGGAGGCTGAGGCAGGAGAATCATGAAGCCAGCCTCAGCAATAGTGAGATGCTAAGCAACTCAGTGAGTCCTGTCTCTAAATAAAACACACAAAAAAGGACTGGGGATGTAGCTCAGTGGTCAAGTGCCCCTCAGTTCCCCAGTACCCACCCCCCGCTGAAAAAGATAGAGTCTTTATTGTGATAAAAATTTTAATTAAAAAATCTCTCCAACACCATTTATCTGAACCAATAATTTCTTGTTAGAGTGAAATAACTTTAAAGTCTAAAATCATTGGAGATTTTATACCTATGTATGAAGAGAGAGCTTCAGAATATAACGTATAATTAAAAACTCCACTGCAATCAATACCTCTTAATACTTAGGACAGTCTGAGTTTACTCTAGACACAAAGAATTTTGTCTAAAAGCTTTTTTGTTATTTTTTTTTTTAGTTACACATGACAGTAGAATGCATTTTGACATATCAAACATATATGGAGTATAACTTCCCAGTCTTGTGGTTGTACATGATGTAGAGTTACACTGGCTATGTATTCATATATGAACATAGGAAAGTTATGTCTGATCCATTCTACTGTCTGAGAAAGCTTCTAAATTAAGCTCAGATAGCATTCTCCCTCAGAGTCTAAATTCTGATAAACTTAAGGCTGATGTGGCTGAGCTCATGGAAGCTCCTATGCCATTGCTTCACATAACTATATAATAACATAAAATACAAATGGGGACCACATTGCACTTTGGGATGAAGGCATGGTAAATGATTACCTGAGATGAAGGTGGGGGGGTAGAAGAAGGAATAGCCACTACATACAGGATTGAACCAAATAAGTGTATCCACCATTGGCCATGAACCCCTTAGGACTTCAAGAGGACATGGGACTTTTTCTGAGACTATTGGAAGACTAGTAGCAGGTGCTATGGAAATGACATTCCAGGCATGTGAAGTCCCGGGCTCACAGGGTCCTGCTGGGACAGCATCAGAGGTGAGAGGAAAGGAAGCTAACCTGGGAGGGTTTAGGGCAGGGATGGCTAGGATGGAGTGGAAAGCTAAAATAAGGTGCTGTTCGTGACAGCTGTGGAATAGCTGTTTAATTGAACAGGACTCAAGTTACTTGCAGATTTGGAAGGTGTTTTTGTCAAGTTTTAAAGATCCTGATATAGACCTTTTTTTTTTTTTTAAGAGAGAGAGAGAGAGAATTTTAATATTTATTTTGTAGTTTCCGGTGGACACAACATCATTATTTTATTTTTATGTGGTGGTGAGGATCGAACCCAGCATCCCGAGCATGCCAGGCGAGCACTTTACCACTGAGCCACACATCCCCAGCCCCCTGATATAGACCTTTGATGTTAAATTTAAAGTTACATAGAGAGGAGGTTTCCTAAAGTGTTTTTATCAGCAGGTGTTTCTCTGATATTTATAAAGTGCATTTGGAAAGAGAAAATGCAAGAAAAGTCATAAAATCATTGAAATTCAGGAAATCTGGAAAGATGCAGGGCACATAATCACTACAAAATGTTTCAACATATTATAAAATCTCTCCATTTAAAATGGAGTATGGAGTAATCACATGAATAGAAAGTTGACAAGTGGAATAAGATAGATCTAATTGGATATGAAATTTTAGTGAAATGGGAAAAGGGACATCCAAAATCAATGTGTAAGAGGTGACTGTTTGGATAAATGGATGACCCTATGGAAAACACTCTGAAGGATTCATTTCTTGTACTACACACCAGAATGAATTCCAAATGGGTTGAGGATTTCAAATGAAAAATGAATCTGTATAAGCATTGGAATCACATGGTAATTCCTCTATAACCTGGGCCGAGGTAAGCACCAACAGCAAAGTAAAAAGATAAATGACAAACTGGGAAAATATTTGCAACTTACACCACAAAGTCTTAATATCACTAATATGTCAAGATCTTTCAAAGTAGTGTTGAAAAATAACATCATCTCTACAGAAAAATGGGCAACCGCCAAGAGAAAAGCCTTGCTGATGGGAATGCAAGATTACTTATGAGCCCTGTGTGGAAGAATTTGGCTATACTGAGCAAAATCACATGTGTGACCCAGCCATGCTAAATACAGAAATCTTCCCCCAGAATATTCTAGTAAAAAGAAATGTGAAACTATGTATACAAGAACAGGCCCAGCAACTCGCGGAGGGGCAGAGCCGCCCCCGCGCCTGCAAGGTAGGCGGACCTGCGACCCACTGGCAGCACAGGCCCAGCGGCCTGCTGAGGGGCAGAACCGCCCCCTCCCCCCGCGCCTGCAAGGTAGGCAGAACTGTGACCACCGGCAGAACAGGCCCAGTGGCCCGCGGAGGGGCAGAGCTGCCCCCCCCTCACGCCTGCAAAGGGGGCGGAACTGCGACCACCGACAGAACAGGCCCAGTGGCCCACAGAAGGACAGAGCCGCCTCCCGTGCCTGCAAGGTAGGCGGACCTGCTACCGACCGGCAGAACAGGCCCAGCGGCCTGCCAGCGTGGTAGGCACATTGCCCCAATTGGAGGAGGGGCAGAGCCGCCACCCGCGCCTGTGAGGGAGACTTTGCAACTATACAAGAGCAATATAAATATATAGGGGGAAAATTCAATAACACAACAGTTTCACCAAGCAGAAAGAAACGCGAACAGTATGAAGAGACAAGGAAAGAAAGGACCACAAACAATGCAGGTCAACTCAACGTTAGAAGAGGTAATATCTGCAGCAGATGGAATGTCAGATAAAGAATTCAGGATATACATGCTTCAGATGATCTGGAGTCTCAAGGAAGACATTAGACAGCAAAATCAGACAATGAAAGATCACTTCAACAATGAATTACATAAACAAATCCAAGAAGCAAAAGATCAACTATACAGGGAGATAGAGGTTATAAAAAACAAACAAACAGAAATCCTACAAATGCAGGAAGCAATAAACCAACTTAAAAACTCAATTGAGAATACTACCAGCAGAGTAGAACACTTAGAAGATAGAACATCAGACAATGAAGACAAAGTATTTCAACTTGAAAAGAACATAGACAGCTCAGCAAGACTGTTAAGAAACCATGAGCAGAACATCCAAGAAATATGGGATAA